AGAGGGATCTGTTTCGTGGGATAATCGACATTGTTCTCTGGGGTTGACGTTTTATGTTTATATATCATTTTCTCTTCACGTGTCTATTTGTTTATTGTTTATTATTTGTTTATCAGTGTAGAATTCTGGATGTCTTCAGTGTCGAGTTCAGTTGGCATTTACCCAATGTAGCGCCTCCATCACGCTCCTATCTGTAAGTCAGCTGTGAATCTATAGCTTAATTTAGAATCACTCGGCATCCTCAGGCGAGCCACTGACGCGATGTTCCACAGTGATATCTATTCAGGTCATTAGGTTAGAGTAACCTCCCTTAGTTTGCGTCAGTTTCAGAACAGAAAGCTAAATTAGGTAGCCTGGATTTAATGTAAGTTAATCCTCTGATGAACAGATTAAATAAACCAACTACTGTGTTAATGGTATTGTAAATGTATGCCTGTATGTCTTGTACATGTAATATGTAATGTTAGTAAATACATTCTTGTTTTGAACGTACTTTGGTTGATCAGAATCTGAATTAAAGTGAGAGTGAGTTGGGTTTAACGCCGCTTTTAACAGTATTCCAGTTATATCGCGGCGTGTCAGCTTAATGTGGGAGGAAAGCCTGAAGTGATGCAGGTCTCTGACGTTAACCCACGAGCACGGCTATGGTGCTGACAAACCTAGAAACATAGTCGGGGCGATCCGGGATTCGAACCCACAATCATAGGCTTCTGGCGTGCCTAAGGGACGCGACTCTGCAGAGCGAATCATCGCGGCGCCTTAGATGACTGGGCCACCCGTGCCCCCGAATTAGAATTTAAAATAGTGATTATAGTCGTACGTTTCATCGTGTGAAAATACAACCGAGCCATCGTCACGTGGGTTATTTCTATTTATTACATACGTTTTCAAACACGTTCAATGTGCGGTATCATGGTTAATGCCCTAAAGATAAACAAGTAATCATTTGTGTAAATATGTTGAAAACCCGACCCTCCAGCAAGGCTCATTAATTCCAGCGGATGTTTTTTTTCCAAAACAGTGGGATTTTTTTCCAGCCGTGGGATGTTTTTCCAAAGCTTTGATATGTTTCTATGATCTTCGTATTCCGTTAATGTGGGGATGCCAGATATTAATTCCAAAGCTGGAAAGTTGATAAATTTTTATTGTGAAATATATGACTATTTCATATGACATTTCGGTTGTGTAAATACCATCACATATATTAAGTTTTTTGCTCGTCATATTTACTTTCTTTACTTTGTCTATGGGGGCGGTAGGCTAGCCTAGTGGTTAAAGCGGTCGCTTGCCACGCCGAAGACCCGGGTTCGATTCTTCACATGGGTACAATGTGTGAAGCCTATTTCTGGTATCCCCTGCCGTGATACTGCTTGAATATTGCAAAAAGCGGCGTAACATTATACTCATTCATTCACATGTTCATGAAATTGTCGGAATCGTACAACATAAGATGTCCATCAGTCCCGATGGGGCACATGTGTTAATTTCCCGCTATGTTTGTTTATGTTCCCCGATCCAGAAGCGTACATCCACCGATGTCACCCGACAGACTGGTGGACAACAAATCTATCTTACCGCACACCTACTTCTGTCTTCTGTATGAGGGGCGGTCAGGTAGCCTAGTGGTTAAAGCGTTCGCTCGTCACGCCGAAGACCCGGGTTCGATTCCCGACATGGGTACAATGTGTGAAGCCCTTTTCTTGCTAGAATATTGCTAAAAGCGGCGTAATACCATACTCACTCACTCTTATGTATGAATGTTTTGTTCCGAATCGGTAAGAATACCACAGTTAGGCATTTATTAACACGCGACGGAAAACAAACTCAGAGTTATTCCCCCTTAATCTATTTCATTCGGAAAATATCGTAAACATCCGAAAAAATGGCGACTTACATCATAAATTCGAGATACAAAATTGCGGTTGGTGTGTTGCAAATGTAATGCCAACAGTTCGGCAACTGTAGGGAACATAAGAAATGTACATTACACGTTATCGGGGTACATTGGAGATAATAGAATATACCTCAGTCAATTAAAATCTGACTTTCATGTGTAAGGTGATATAAAATGTTTTTGTCGCGTTCATTTAACTCAAGAAGAAGTCATAACTCCCTTCTGCAGCTGCATCATGAAATTATATGGAGGTAATAAAGTTTGAGCAAGAAATAGGCTGACATCTGTTATTCCTTTCATATTTGACAGGAGAGACAAATGGATTTCAAGTGTTTTTTTCATGTCAATGCGACGTTTCGGAACAGGTGCAAGTACTATTATATCGGAAATTGATTTCTTGATCAGGTTCCGGTTTATCGTTTTATAAGTGGTTCCGACTTTCTCTACTTGACTTAGTTGTCTTTCGTTAAAGCTGGTAATGATGGTTGGTTTGTCTTTTTACGCCGCACTCAGCAATATTCCAGCTATATGACGGCGGGCTGTAAATAATCGAGTCTGGACCAGATAATCCAGTGATTGATATCATGAGCATCGATCCACGCAGTTGTGATCGATGACATGCTTCAACCAAGTCAGCGAGCCTGACCCCCCGATCCCGTTAGTCGCCTCAAGATCATTGTTGTAGCTATGTATATATAACCAAGAAGTACAGGTATGTTAACCCCGCTCATGTTAAGTCGATATGCTATTTTCACACATTATGGGGCGTTGCACAGGTCCCTAGGAACCAAAACAAAATGTAAAAACAAGCCTCGATTATCCGCCGAACAGACTCGATTTGGCGTAAAAGGCAGATGGTATACTCCCCATGGAGCTGAGAATGAAAATCGAGTGCTCACTGATCCATTGACTGGGGTTATAATGTAAGCGCCATGAGTTCACGAGCTGGTATGGAGTTTGGCGCCATACAAATTCTTTGTTTATTTGTTGACTGACGCGCTTAGCAATCCTCGGGTGGTCAGGCTCGCTGACTTGGTTGATGCATGTTACGAGCCCAATTGCATGTATCGATGTTCATGATATTAATCACTGGATTGTCTGGTCCAGACTCGATTATTTACAGACCGCCGTCATATGTGCGGCGTTAAACAACAAACAAACAAAACAGCAATCCTCCTGCCACAAGACCGCGGGCTGCAAACTAACCAGACAATCAAGTTGTGGATCAGAAACTCCAGTGACAAGATTCCGCACTGACTGATTTTGTTGAAAGCAAGTCGTAAGAGCACGATGATTGGATGGTAAGAATGTATGACCTGGCTAAATGTACATGTATACTACTAAATAAGGTTAAGGGTCATCCGATTCTTTCATATTACTGTTACTCCACTTAATCTGCCATGACAGATTAACTGTAGTAATACGAAAGAACTTTTTCTATTAGTATATGTCAAAGAAACTCCTTTGCGCATGCTATGAGTCACTGGTTTGTTGGATTCTGACTCTCTCACCACTCTCATGATTCAACTGTAATATTACTTCTCTAAAACAACAACCATTCACCCCTGAAACAAATAACATTATTACTGAAATGTTGTTTTTTTATAATTCTAACATTGAATCACATACTCATTTATATACTCTAAGGGGTGCACGGGTGGCCCAGTCGTCTAAGGCGCCGCGATTCGCTGTGCAGAGTTGCGTGCCTTGGGCGCGTCGGAAACCTATGATTGTGGGTTTGAATCCCGGTTCGCCCCGATTATGTTTCTAGGTTTATCAGCACCATACCCGTGCTTGTGGGTTTCACTGAAGTGGTAAACGTCTGAGACCTGCATCACTTCTGGCTTTCCTCCCACATTAAGCTGACAGGCTGCGATATAACTGGAATACTGTCAAAGGCGGCGTTAAACCCAACTCACTCACAATATACCCTGAGGCACAGGTAGTTGTGATAATATCCTTATTCTATCATATTGTCATATCTCCCCTTCTCCCCTGTTCACTTGGGATGAAGATTGGCACAACTGTGTTTCTAGGTATTTAGAATATATCAATTTATTAAAAAATACAATTTACAAATATACATTTTGGTTCTTGACACAAAACCTTCCACACATGTTATTTATTTGTTAGTTGGTGAGTGACTACGCACTCAACAATATCCCAGCTAAATGACGGCAGCCTGGACCAGACAATCCAGTGGTTGATATTGTGAGCATCTATTCACGCTGTATTTGGATGATAAAACGCAATCAACCAAATGAAATTGACCAACCGATCCATTAAACCAATTCTAACCTGGAACGTAAACCAGTTTGAAAAGGAAAGTTTAATAGAAGAATGCCTTTGCCTTTTGAACTGGATAAGCACCATGACCCCTGTAGATTCCTGTGGAACCCTGCACAGGCTTGAAAAAATATTTGTTGTGCACATTCAATATCAATAAAACTCCATGTTGTTCATGTGATCAAATATATTAGTAACTTTCAATTATTAAGTGTGAAGCCAATATCTGGAGTCCACGCCGTGATATTGCTTGATAATTGCTAAAAGCGGCGTAAAACCATATTCACTTACTTTAGTTATTAATACTTGTATATTATCGAGCATATGTTTGCTTCAGAGTATACAATGTAAAAAAAATTACACTTTAACATACTTACAAGCACCTAGGACTTCAGAGAAAACGTATATTAACTTTTTTTCAAATTCATTTTTACAATATTTACAGGTAAGACTTAATGTACAGCGACTTTAAGTGTTGCCCTCTGTGTACACTGAGGCTTAACGTGGCTTTCAGGTGCATGCCACGTCGCTTCTCCCTCAAACCTTTATGTAAAACATGCCTTGCACAAGACGTTCTGAAGTCATAAAAATCCACTCGCCTGTTTTCAATTGTTATCTTCACATTTTTTTACCACATGACTGATTTTACTGAATGCATAGTAATCCACGTGAGGAAAAGTTAGATAGACCAATAACATTGTGGTAACATGATTGACATTTTTACGAATGATTTCTTTAGGATAACAATTGTCAGTTAATACCATCTTCGGGGCGTGTAACGTGTATATATAGCTGTAGTCAACTTCATCTCCTGAGAGATCCTTCTTCATCAAGGACACAGTCTGATTCTCACATGCATATAACGAAGAACTAATCAAGGTAAACGTATTCAATGTTCCGGAGAACCGTGAAGACCCCGGGGTAGAATAGGTCTTCAGCAACCAATGCTTGCCGTAAAAGGCGACTATGCTTGTCGTAAGAGGCGACTAACGGGATCGGGTGGTCAGGCTCGCTGACTTGGTTGATGCATGCCATCGTTTCGCAATTGCGTGGATCGATACTCATGATGTCAATTACTGGATTGTCTGGTCCAGATTTGATTATTTACATCCTATAGCTGTAATATAGCCGAGTGCGGCGTTAAACAACAAACAAACAATGTTCCGGAGTATTTTAATTACATAAAGTCAGGTTAATGTGTGAGGAAAATGCGATTATGTGGTAATATTGGCCGACATTAATCTACATATTGTTGTATTTTGTATTTATTTGTTTGTTTGTGTTTATCGTCTCACTCAGTAACATCCCAGCTGTATGATGGCGGTACGTAAGTAATCGAGTGTGGACCAGACAATCCAGTGATTGATATCATGAGTATCGATCTACGCAATTGGGAAACGATGACATGATTCAACCAAGTCAGCGAACCTGAAGAGCGATTCTCGTTAGTCGCTTCTTACGATAAGCATGGGTCGCTGAAGACAAATTCTAACCCGGGTCTTCACGGGATGTCATTGTTGTAAAGCACGTTGCTCGACTACAATGGGTCGGTTTGTCTGGCTCTGTGATTTAGATGATACGTGTCAACGTGGCCCGATAGTGTGATTCATTTCTCATGCTTTCAGTCATTGGTTTGCCTTGTGCATACTCGATTGTGTTCGGACAACAGTGATAACCATAAAACAAATATTTTAATATTTTATGTATCATTATATTATTATAAATATTCAATGTTCAAAATCACTCTGTTTACTTTGCAGAAACCCTGGAACGCTTTAAGCATCCGTCTAATCTTGGTGAATTTTGAACTCGAGTCCAAACATTTCAACCATACAATACAAAGTGAATTAATCATTTTAAACAAAGCAGTACTGTCCGTATGCGATCACTAACACATTCAAACAATACCAGCAGGGGGCCACACGGAAGATTGAATATACAGGGTGATGGTTCTTTTATGAGGGAGCCAAGGCCTTTCCTAACTGTAGAGTGACAAAGTAAATACGCTTCATATTATACAGCATTGTATGCAGGTATGTTTTGTGTTTCACTAATATCTGGATCTATGACAGTTGTTCTGCAGAAATGTTGGCTCTGTGGCTCCTCTTCCTGACGACAGTGGCTCCAGGTAAGCTCCTTACAGTGTCTTCTATATAAAGCTACTGCTTTCATTGCTGTATGCATACACCCTGAACCGTGAACACTCACCATTGGAGTCAGCATTGTGTCAGTTAAGGTCAACACGGGCAACATGGCGTCAGTTTTACAATGTTGCATTGAATGACGAAAAACTGAGCTTGTACATTCAATCTTATAAAAATCATCTTGAACACATATGAATGAAATAAAGCTTGGTGTATTTCCGTTGAGAGCAGTCCCCGACATATTTTCTGTTCATTGAAGCAAGCATATATAACCTTTATGATTTAAGTTCTTCCGCCCTTGTTTGGGATTGTACAGTTTTAAGTAAACATTCATTCATATCATGCATTCCTGGCATTTGATAAATAAAGCAACAAAACCTTTTTACATAATTAAGGATACCATTGTACACTTCCGTTGCAACTACTGTAAAACTCTTGACATTGACTTTGATACAGATCTGTTATACAGTCGTGAAATTTCAAGCATTTTCTTTATTGAATTATTGAATTAAAGTATGATATAGAAACAAATAGAAACATATAGAAAAATATATGAAACACTTTGAAAGCGCATATTCGATTTTTGTAATATTTGACAAAATGGCAACAAAAATCAAGTTGTTCTGTGTATTTAGGCATGAGACATTCAAACACTCGTATGTTGAATAATGTAAATGCCACATATATGATGTCATGTTTTTCTCATGATAGAAAGGTTGAAATAAAACATAGAGTTTGTACCCCACTGAAAATGTAAAAAAAATAATATAACTGAAAACTTAGAAACGTTATGAATACTATCGGACATTTTCAAATGAAGGAATCGAGTCTCTTTTCTGTCTTTCACAAACTAGTTGTAGACTTATGACCTGATTGTGTATGGCTAATAGGTAAGAAAAAGGCAGGTTTCCCCAACCGAAAACCAAGACAAAAGATGCATGTTGCGATAAAAACAGGTTTCTTAATCATTTTATAAAAAACCCATTCATATGTCCTTATTATGTCTCACCCTTTTCTAGCTCTGCTTAATTATGCATAGTATTACTTATTGATTCTTGTCATTGCATTGCATCGGTTTCAAAATGCCTTGTTTATCATACACCAACACTCTGTATCGTGATAAATATTGTATCTACAGTTTAGCTTGTGAACTGTTATTAAGTAATTATTTCATCATAATTTAGCTTCGTGGTTATTACGTCCAAGAATAGGCCCCATGTACCCCTGCTTGTGGTAAGAGTCAACTGCCGGACTAAAGAATGTTTACACTTAGATATTGCTTTTGACAAACAATTACTGACGTTAGTTCATCGCTAAAAACACATTCGCCGAAACACTGCGGACTTAGGTCTTGTTGCTTCATTTTTAGCCACCATCACACTAAACATGGATGTATACTTTCTTTTGCCCGTCAGTTTATTTGACGATTGCGGGATTTGAACTAGCTGGTTGTGTCATCGTTATATATCGTAGATGTTAATTTGCTCAAAACATGACCCACTAGTTTGTCTTGCCTAGAATCGATTATTTACAGGTTATTGTGATGCAGCTGGACATTTGCTGTGCTCGCTTGAAATAATAGTCCTTCCTTCGCAGACACCTGGTGTTATCATTAATTTTCAGTGATCCATTCATTCAATTTAAGCCTCTATTTTGATTTTACGCACAATGGAATCTGCTCCGCGGATAATCGAGACTGGTTATTCTCCGGCGTTGACGTTTTATTTTTCATAATTCACAAACTTGAACAGGCTTTATGATCCCTATTGTGATTTCTAGTTACCCCAACGTTTGATTGCCGTCGACCGAATCAAGCCTGTTTGAACACTGGATTGTGCTGGTTTGACTCGCCGCTGTGTAAGTGTGACGATGTTACACCGCCCACTCAAGGATACAACTGTGGGCTGGTCACATGTAAGTACTTCTAACAGGGAATTATTAGTAGCTCATGCACGTGTTGAAGGACAGTCTTGAAACATCGGTCCTTTCTGAAAAAAAACCATGACTGTATATTTAACTGAAACATATAAATTATAAAGTTTGAAATAAATAATCATGCTTGGTCTGAAATATTCCCCTGTTTTCTCTTCCTATGGTTTGAATGAATGTCTAATGTCTTTTGATCTCCGGCATCTGGTGTTTCTGTTTATTGTTAAGAATGTATGTGATAACCCACTATAGTCCTGCTGTTGTACTGTGATAACTCGTCACGCCGGAGGCCAGGGTTGACTCTCAACATTGGGGTAATGTGTGAATCTCACTGATGGTTGCCCTGCCGTTATATAAGCTAACGACTAAAAGAAAATTTACCCTAGTTTTAAATCACTCCAGTTTAACCACCACAAAAGATAGAAGCCTGAAGTAAAATTTATTGAAAAGATCAAATTCTCAACGAATCAAGATTTAAAATGATAGTCATACAGCATCGGATATTGGCATGACAGTTGCCCATTACACATTTAAAATGAGTCACCTAGTCAGTGTCTGTCGACTGACCATATGCCCTCTGGCATTCGTCGCCGATGACGTCACTGACAGGAATCGATTCCGGAGATGCCAAGTACGCCAGTACCGGTCTTCATTGGGCGTAGTTACCCTTGGTGAAATCTATTCCTTTCTTTAGCTGTATCGCTGCCGTACCAGAATACAGGCTACTACGGTACAATGTCTGGGTAAAATATGATAAACCAACGTTAAACGGTTAATCGGTAGGGCAGGCTACCATTTTCACAAACACCTGGTGTCATCACAGGTTTTCCATAAACCATTCATATAATTGTTACCGCTATGTTGCCTGTTATATACAATGAAATCTGTTATCGAAGGATAATCGAGACTTATTATTCTCTGGCGTTAACGTTTTATGTTTGATATCTTATAAATTTTGAACTAAGTGATGTTTCAAATGGATGTTTAGATGACTAGATTCACCAAATAACACGCAATGGCTCATCGCTGATTCTAGCAAGGCGTATTGGTACGTCGGCAATTTGTAGTGTACCATAAGGTCCCTTACCTCAACATGATATTATTAAGTAAAGCAAGCGACAAAACCTTTTCCATATCCGTTAGAAATCTCTGCATAAAGTAGAGTCGATTGTACAATTCCGACAACATCATGAGCAGGTGTTTATGAATAACTGTCAAATAGGACACTATTAATTAGGACACGAATACATAATTTTCATGTAAATACATGTTTTCAATTTGATTGAGTATGGTTGTACGCCGCTTTTTGCAATATGCCAGTAGTATCAAGTCGGGCGACACCAGAAATATGCTTCACACATTATATCCACGTGGGTAATCAAACCCGGGTCTTTGGAATGACGAACGAATTCTTTCACCACTAGGCTACCCCACCGCCCCGTTTTCAATTTGATAATATGATAGTTCTTTACAGCCTCAAAAGGTACAGGCGCTTGTGTCAATTCTAACCCCTGTACTCCAAGCCAGGGCGACTGTTACGATGATGGCGGTGTTGCCAGATGCTACTGCGACGCCGACCACTACGGCCAAACATGTCAGGAAGAAAGATGTAGGTAGCGTATGGGAGATGTACACAACATATGCTAGCATCAGCAATCTGATCCCCTCTCAGGCTGTTGCTCAATACACTAAACCACGGAAGCGGTCCTATCATGGAAGAAGCTTCAAAAGTCAATATGTTTTTGTCAGAGAAACCTCAACCTCTGTTCACATTCACCGCACATGTATATTACAATCAAACTACTGTAATGAGACTGCTGCAGATTGGGCTTAGCCGATGTGATTTCAATCCATCTTGGGGGCGAGGGTGGCCCATTCGTCTAAGGCACCGCGATTTGCTGTGCAGAGTTGCGTCCCTTGGGCAGGCCAGGAACCTATAATTGTGGGTTCGAATCCCTGTTCGTCCTGATTATGTTTCTAGGTTTGTCAGCACCATACCCGTGCTCGTGGGTTTCACCGAAGTGGTTAACGCCTTAGACCTGTATCACTTCGGGCTTTCATCCCACATTAAGCTGACACGCCGCGATATAACTGGAATACTTATTACGCGAATAATAAGTCGGCGTAAAACCCAAATCACGCACTCAAGGTAACTGACCTCGAGAAGACGTCTATGTACGTTTGATGATATGACATTAACAATATCAATGATACACGAAGTCTTAATAGCGGCACAACATCTATTTTGAACATCTCCAAAATTTAGCTACTGCATTCAAATTGCAATTCTAGTCACGGTGTCTTGCACGCCCTACACCATGGTCATCGGCATCAACCCCAACGGCAACTTCACGGGAGTGGCTTATATAATGGGAAAGAAAGACATAGATTCATGCCACGCAAAGGCGGTGCCCGTGGAAGCTTCCTCGACTGACCGCATCCCCGACACGTGGAGAGGACACTACATCGAGGTGGACCACGAGAGCACCGACTGCGGAGACACTGACACGACGATGGTGAGAAACGTTTACCTAGTATTGTCACTATTTTCTTTGTTTGTTTCTTCATGTTTACTCAGCCATATTCCAACTATCTGACGGCGCTCTGTAAATGTTCGAGTCTGGACCAGACAATCCCGTGATTGGCATATTGAGCATCGATCCACGCATTTGGTATACGATGACATGCATCAACCAAGTCGGCGAGTCTGACCCCGTTAGTCTCCTCTTACGACAAGTATAATCTCCTCATACGCCAAGCATGGGTTGCTGATCCATGAAGACCTAGATCTTCACGGTTCCGCTATTCTAACTAGTACCATATGGTCCCGTGTTTTTTCAAGTAAACCATTGACTTGCCATTACATGTGCTTGTGGCGGGCGCCACCGTTGGGGCAGGATACGCTTACCTTTTCGCGAACACCTGGTATCATGACTATTTGATAATGATTCATAAACACATGCTTATGAAATAGTCGGAATCATACAATCGATGTATGATTCCGACAATATACTATACCATCTCTTTTTTAGTACATATTCATCATGATTATAGATAGGGTTTTGTCGCTTTTATTTTTTTGTAAACAGTCTCGACGCCTCGGTGGTCGGGGGTTCGATCCCCTGGTTACGTCTTACCAAAAGACGTTAAAATATGGTACTTGTTGTTACCCTGTCTGGCGCTCGGCATTAAAGGGGCACTGATCTAAAGCAATTCCCCGGGACTGGTTGTTGCCTTTGTTATTGTTTTTTCCCCGTGAGTACCCGGATGATAGAGCAGAAACCTAGACTAGTTCGCAACCTGTGCTGCGCAATTCGTGAGCGCATTTGTCACTTGATGGTATAAGGGAGTATGGTCACATTGATCAACAAAATGAAATACAGTTTTCGAAATAATAAGGAAATGTAGGTATCTTTGTGGGAAGCATCGTAAATGGTGACGAAGTTTTGATAAGTCACTTGCTTGGTAACTGTGCGATTTTCGTTTACACTATTTTGACTTGCAACACAAAGTTAATATTTCCCCTGAGCATTGCTTATTTTATCGTGTCTATATTTTTACAGTCAAAATGAGCAAAATTTTCACTTAGGAATGTTATTCAGTTATTTTACAAATTGACTGAAAAATATGTCCATCTGTATTATTATGACAACGAATTCAAAACATTTTTATGTTTAATATCATCACCAAGAGACTGAAAATGTTACGATGAAAAGTACATTTCTATATTGTTTGGCTTCTAATCCTACATAATAATCTATTGTGATGTTTTTAGGCCATATTGATCATCTTAATCAATTTTAGTCAATCTGTTAAAGAAATGGACAGATTTTTCAGTCAAAATAACTGAAATATTTACACATTTCATAAATTGCCTGAGAGAATCACATTTTACAAAGTGACTGTAATATTCAAACGAAAAGACTTGTGAAAACTACGTCTATCGCGCATCGAAGAATTTCCCAACCAAGACGTAGAGGAACAAGAATGAATCTGTCCAATGCTACTGCAAATGAAGGAAAACAAAATGCGAATATCATAATTACAACCTACCAAATTTATGTGTATAATTTTAGGCAGCTTCCTTGTTCGAGGAATGTATCCGTGAATATCCACACAAAGGAACAAATACCCAAACGTCTGCAGCTGTACAAAACGTATTCGATGTCACGTGTCTCTGTAACAATCAAATATTTTAAAATATATATATCGCTTCGGGATATTATAACCCGTGTTCGTTTCTCAACTGACCACTTAGATTGTTTCAGGTGTTTCACATAGGTGTCAAGTCTCAAAGGTCGGCTGAGAAAGCCCACGTGACAACTATTTTCATAACGTCCACGGTTCCTAAAAAAATCCATTGAGTTAGATAACAATGAGCAATTAATCAACGTATTATCAGTTAACCCTTTGAACAAAGTATGTTGTTTTAACATCGGCACTTCACGCAAGGATATGAGTGTATTCCCTTTATTTTAGTAAACCATTTAGTAAATCAATGTATTTTCTGTTAATCCTTTGATGACTACGAACGATCCGCTGATTTACAAAAAAAGTAAATCAACTGATCATTCATCTCTTGCTGGGCTGCCACGTGCATATTACATAACACACATTTCACTTCACTTCAAACCTGGATTTAGATTGAATAATTACCCCAGACACAGTAAATGCCAAATGGGAACCTTCGTCAGGTATTCGGAGTGGTGCCACCACTAATTGTACCTGTAATAAATTCATTAACTGAGCATCAAGTGAATGAAGACAAATACACAAGTGCAGGGTCATACCAGAAAACGTGGATGACAACAAGGGAGTAGTAATCGTATTATCGACGCAATCCGAAATCCGAAAATGCTTTCACTGCATTGATACTTTTTTTAAAAACTATAACACTCAGGGGTATATCCAAATGACGACAACCGATGAGCTCCGCCGTTCTTTTTGTCTGTTTGTTTAGGCTGAAGAAATTAATTAACATGCGCCCTTTGTCAAAGTTTATTTTGCTGTCATTGCAAGACGGTAGCACAGTCTCTTGTCATGCTCAGTTGCGTTGCGTATCATCTGGGTACTCACAGGGAAAAAAACAATAACAAAGGCAACAACCAGTCCCGGGGAATTGCTTTAGATCAGTGCCCCTTTAAGGGGACGAAACAAGGACCGGAGCCTGTTTACTGTGTCTGAGGTGGGGTGTCCATGTTAAACTGCTGTATGGTATCTCACTTGGCTGGCACTATAAAACCGGCATTAGTCCTGCTCGTAGAAGCAGCCACACACACGTGCATTCACGTTGCTCTATAAGTGTAACTATCTTGAGTGCAACGTAATTCCTACTCCACCTCATCAACAGTCGGATATTGTTTATCCAGGGACCCGGCCCTCAAAGGGTTCGTTGCGTTACGAGCTATCGTAACTGTAAAGACATTGGCGTATTATCATTGGCTTACAAATATCGCAGTGCTGCGAACGCTTTGCGGTTCCGGCTCAAGGCCTTATTTCGGGCAAACCTTAAATATGGTTACTTCCCGATTTGTATACACATAATTAGAATGGCATCGTGATAACTAATATTGGTGTAACTGAATAATGTGTAATAACATCGAGAATTTGTCTTGCAGTAACATGACGTTATGTATACACAGGTTTAGAGTGTTATCTGTATCGGTAGCTTGACGTTCTTCTTCCTCCTATTCCTCATATTCTCGACCTCCGTGGTCTAGTGGTAGAGCGTCTGCCCGGAGAGCGGAAGGTCCAGGGTTCGATCCCCGGCCCTGTCATACCAAAAGACGTTAAAAGATGGTATTTATTGTTACCCTGTCTGGCGCTCGGCATTAAGGGGCTAAAACAAGGACTGGTCAGCTCGGAGTCAGTATACTGTGTCTGAGTGGGGTATTCATGTTAAACTGCGGCATGGTATCTCAGTGAGCTAGAACTATAAATCGGCATCAGTCCGGACTAGTACAAGCAGCCACACACACACATACGTGGATGCACGTCGCTATATAAGTGCAATGATCTTGGACGCGACGTTACACCCCATTTCACTCACCTCTTCATATTCTTAAAGTGGTAACGACCGTTCTCCCTTTACAGGAGCCTAATGTTTTGTATGGACATCCGGTGGTGATATGTAACGTATACGTAGTACATATAGTAGTAGCCGCTCTGGTTGGTGTGGGATGGGGTAACCTAGTGGATAAAGCGTTCGCTCGTCCGACGGCCCGGGCTCGATTCCCCACATGGGTACAATCTTTAAAGCCCATTTATGGGGTCCCCGGTCGTGATATTGCTCGAATATTGCTAAAAGTTGCTTTAAACCATATTCACTCACTCACCTAGCGTCCCGTGAAGATTGCGGGTTAGAGGATTGGTCTTCAGCAACCTATGCTTGCCGTAAAAGGCGACTAACGGGATCGGGTGGTCAGGCTCGCTGCATGTCATCGATTCCAATTGCGTGGACCAATGCTCATGGTGTCAATCACTGGATTGTCTGGTCCAGACTCGATTATTTACAGACCGCCGTCATATAGCTGGAATATTGCTGATTGCGGCGTTAAACAACAAACCAAATCAAAATCAAATCAAATGCGTAGATCGATGCTCATGATGTCAATCACTCAAATGTCTGGTACAGACTCGATTATTTACAGACCGCCGTCATGTAGCTGGATTATTGCTGAGTGCATCGTTAAACAGCAAACAAAACGCCAAAACAACAACACTCAACTAACGCAACTTAACACTTTATTACAATCCAGGAGTCTTATAGAAAGTCTATGTTGTAGTAACGGTTCATTTTGTACGTTCATTCTAGCAATGGTTTGAGACACTATATCACTGTGACTCGTTTCAGGGCTCCGATATTACGGAATTCTCCCGCGATGTCGTCATACAGTACAGCCGGGACTACATCGCCGACGTTGACGACAAATACACCGTCAAGTGCATCCTCGACGACGAGGGCACGATGGTATCTACCCGGGTATTTTCCATAAATCCTGACGTGTGAGTGTACAGAATATCATGACTGTTTTTGGTAATGTGGGACAATGTACTATGTACTATGACGTATTGGCTAAAAGGAATTATTTTCTAACTCTAACAAATCTCTGATTTCACATAACTTTCACCATCATTTTGCCTTTTACGTCCAATGGAATCTGTTTCGGCATATAATCGAGTCTGGCTGTTCTCTGGCGTTGACGTTTTATTACGCACATGGTACTTTGTAAAGGGGTAACATAACACAGTCTTGTGATACAACACCTTCCTGTAATTTGATTGGCTGAGATCATGAACCTTGACCTAGCCGAGACTGTTTTCAGCTGTTTCATTCATAATTTCGCAAAAATTCAATCTCATGAAACGAGAAAAATTTTTTAGTTGGACTGTGTAGAGAATGCTTATTGATTATTTTGAAATATGTAGCCATCACACTGTAATCGTGTTGTAAGACTGAGGTAAACCTTCAAATTCAATTGTTTTAGATCTCTGCAAGTTGATTGCACTTTATCCTGTTTTCTACTCAGGAATTATGTATCATTAAGTTAGTAATGGATATATTCATTTTTTTAAATATTAGCCATTGTTATTTTTGCAACCATTTTTGAAAATACAATGTGACCTTATAATGTTGCCGGTAATGAGCCACATGTCCGGGCCTCTTTACCCGTGTTGCGGCTAATACAATGAATATTTACAGTGCTCCGTTGAACCCCGTCAACAACTCCGATACAGTGAGCCCAGTATTCCTGGCGCTGACCTCAGGCGGTACCTCCGTCACTGACAACCCCATCGACATCGGCGCGGAGCTCGTCTTCACGTTCTCCGTCCCCCATCGTGAGTCAATACAAGCTTCTGTTGATAACACTGCCGTAAACGTTACACCTGGAGTGCCAATGCTTCTACTCAAACACTTGGTTGTTGTTAATCCAGCTTGATAGCGGTGTAAGAATCTACATCGAAACGTCGCTAAATGCAATAAACCAGAAGTTGTTATCCATAAAGTTGTTTTACTTCGTCATGGTCCTTAAGACATATGGTCCTTTTGATAAAACCGGTTGCATTTGTCTACATCTATTGATGTTATCACACTACATATATACTGGCACATTACGTACCCGCATCCTTAACTGCTCAGAATACATCTAGTTTATATGAGTATATTTAATATAGATGGAATATATACAGATGAAATAGATTTACAGCTCAAAGTTAATATTTTATTTATGTTTTCTTTATGCGCTAGTTATATTACGTTTGAGACGAAATTACTATTTTATTATACAATGATCACAAAGAATTTATCCCTCATATCAGATGCAATTATCTGCTGCTTGTTTGAATCTTAATTTTGGCAATAAAAGCTCTGAAAGCGTGCAGCTGTCGCGCTAATTTCGTCACAGTGGGGTGGGAAAGTGAACCAAGCTTCAAAGCATCAAAGACAACGGATATATTTTATGTCCGGTATTTTTTTATCCAACATTTGTGACGGCCTTTTAAAATTGAATGTAGATGTTTTCATTGGAAGCAATGGTTCTTAAGTTCATTTTTACGACATTGTGAATGTATGTGAACAGGTCATTTAATGGTTCATTTTTATATCGTTCTCTTCTGACCTAAATGTTCGTTTGAAGCGTGTTCTTATTGCTTCAAACAAAAAATGTAATGTGTAATATAAATAGTGTACAGACAAGACATTGCACAATAATAAAAGACTTGCAGGATTTTTTATAAATCACAACCTTCATTTGCTTACAAATGTAGCAGTTGGTTACATATTGTAACATATTGTAACCAACCCATCAGCTGTATTGTTTCTACGGGTAATAATTCAAAGCCTCAGCTGAACAACCAATGCGGATGTCTCACTAGACCGTAGCTCACCCTTCGATAAGATAACTATCTGCAGACTTAAAAGTCTAAGCGGTGTCGGGGGACACGGTTACCAGTTAGGTTCCCAGGTTCTCCCTGATAACGTTTGTGAGGTTTGTCAGCACCATACCCATGTTTGCCATTTGCATGAGACTGTATTTGTTATCATTCGCCACCACTCGCCCTCGTCAAGATTCATGAAATTGTGGATTCGAATCCCGGTTCGCCCCGATTATGTTTCTAGGTTTGTCAGCACCATACCGGGGGCACGTGTGGCCCAGTCGTCTAAGGCGCCGCGATCCACTGTGCAGAGTTACGTCCCTTGAGCACGCCAGAAACCTATGATTGTGGGTTCGAATCCCGGTTCGGCCCGATTATGTTTCTAGGTTTGTCCTCCATACCGGGGGCACGTGTGGCCGAGTCGTCTTAGGCGCCGCGATCCGCTGTGCAGAGTTGCGTCCCTTGGGCACGCCAGAAACCTATGATTGTGGGTTCGAATCCCGGCTCGCCCCGATTATGTTTCTAGGTTTGTCAGCACCATACCCGTACTCGTGGGTTTTACCGAACTGGTAAACGTCTGAGACCTGTATAACTTCGGGCTTTCCTCCCACATTAAGCTGACACGCTGTGATATAACTGGAATACTGTTAAAAGCGGCGTTAAACCCATCTCCCTCACTCACTCAGCATCATACCCGTGCCCGTCGGTTTTCCCAAATGGTCAACGTCTGAGATATGCATCAGTTCCCTCCCTCATCAAACAGAAACGCCATGATATCTCACTGACTCTAAGCTCATTGTGGACTTTCCCTATTAGGTTGACATGCCATGCTTTTACCGACAAAACTTTTAAAACGACAAAAAACAAAACTTGCTCATCTTTGATAAGTCTAGATGTGAAACATGCACCTTATATATCACTTTTAGTCTATTACAATGATTGCCAGCGATAACGCATCTTTGGAATATATCGTACACCACATTGTTTGTTTGTTTGTTTGTTTGTTGTTATACGCCACATTCAACAACATTCAAGCTATATGCTGGCGGTCTGTAAATAATCGAGTCTGGACCAGGCAATCCAGTGTTTGTCATCATGAGCATCGATCTACACAATTGGGATACGATGACGTTCATCAACCAAGTCAGCGAGCCGATCCACCTAATCCGTTAGTCGCCTCTTACGACAAGCATGGGTTGCTGATGACAAATTCTAACCCGAAACTTCAGGATTGCCAAATGACTAAAAAAGAGCACAAAACTCACTTGTTTTACCTTTGTTTGCAAGTAATGGTTGTATATGTGTCCATGATATTGCTTTGCAGGCTACGAGTCTATGAAGGTAATCTCGGGCTTGGCCGACAACACCCTAACTACTGGTAAAAGGTCACTCACCCTCATATCAGACGGGTAAGCAGTAAAGTAGTGACTTCTCTATTAAGATCTTGTAGTGCAATAGGATGTTTTATCTATACAGTCTGCCGTATTTCTTGGTGAGTGAGTTGGGTTTACCGCCGCTTTTAACAGTATTCCAGTTATATCACGGCGTGTCAGCTTAATGTGGGAGGAAAGCCCGAAGTGATGCAGGTCTCAGATGTTTACCACTTCAGTGAAACCCACGAGCACGTGTATGGTGCTGACAAACCTAGAACGTAATCGGGGCGAACCGGGATTCGAACCCACAATCATAGGTTTCGGGCGTGCCCAAGGGACGCAACTCTGCACAGCGAATTGCGGCGCCTCAGACGACAGGGCCACCCGTGCCCCCCGTATTTCTTAGCATTTAAGAGGGATACTCAGACAGTTCATTTGCAACAGGGGCGGTGTAGCCTTGTGGTTAAAGCGATCGCTCGAACCCGGTTTCCCCACATGGGTACAATGTGTGAAACCAATTTTTGGTGATATTGTTGGAATATTGCTAAAAGCGGCTAAACCCCAACTCACTCACTCGCTCACTCATGTAAACTGGTGTTTAACGCCACAGTAATCTATGTTCCAGTTTTCAATCGTTAGTTCCGTTTCATAACTTTTACAATATTTTCAATCGATTAGTTTATATACTTGAAAGATAATAGTTTAAGAACTGAAGGATACGATTTTTTTACTCGAAATCCTTTGATGTGCATTCTGATTGAGTTTCTAAAGGTCGGATCAATATCAGCATCAGTGAGTGAGTATGGTTTTAGCAATATTCCACTGCGAGGGACACCAGAAATGGGCTTCACACATTGTACCCATGTCGGGAAGCGAACCCGGGTCGTCGGCGTGACGTGCGAACGCTTTAACCACTAGGCTACCCGACCGCCCCATATCATCATCAGACCTATAAGGACGTTATTGATGGAGGGATTCGTAAATATGAATCGGAGACCAGTTAATATTGGCTAATACAAGCAAAAGCAGTACATGGATACCATTTCGCAGCTATTTCGGTATTGCTGGAGTAGTGCTAAAAGCGGCGTGAAACCATACTCAATCATTCACCACAGACACCTACTTCAACTAACAAAACAAAATGCAGATGATGAACAATCTGCGTTCCTTTGTCGTTAGCATTCCCTATGCCTCTTCGGGGCGGTCGGGTAGCCTGGTGGTTAAGCGTTCGCTCGTCACACTGAAGACCCGGGTTCGATTCCCCACATGGGTGGATTGTGTGACGCCCATTTCTGGTGTCCCCCGTCGTCATATTACAGGAATATGTCTAAAAGCGGCGTAAACCCATACTCACTCATTCACTATGCCTATTCAACAGCATCTACTCTAATAAAACAATTTTTCAAAAATGGTTCAGGAATTAAAACTATTTCATTATTGAGTGACTGAATGAGTGAGTGAGTTTGTACGCCGCTTTAAGTAATATTCCAATAATTTCACGGCGGGGGACACCAGAAATGGGCTTCAAACATTGTACCCATGTCGGAAATCGAACCCGGGTCTTCGGCGTGACGAGCGAATGCTTTAACCCCTAGGCTACCCCACCGCCCTGAAGTCATCATTCAGCATGACGTATGAACATTATGCATAACAATGTAGAAATCCACAATAATTCCAACTAACTTCATTTCAGCTGTGTACACCCTGAGGCGTATTCCATTACAATACAACAACCATTACGTCATGAAATAGGAAGTGACGTGGACAAAAGGGAGATAATTTACAAGCTGAAAGCGTTTCTGTTTGACGGAAATAATGACGTCATCTTCAAATTCAACGTCAAAGTCTGTCTAGCTTCAAACGACGCCGACTGTGAACCTGTGAGTATAGTAGGACACAATCACTTTGGCTATGCCCATTAACTAAATATGGGATCTTGTTTAAACCTTAAGGGTTAATCGGAATTTATGAATATAAATCCATCAATGTTTATAATTTTCATCGAATATTTAGAATACTTCATACGATGGCCAAGGCGATGGCAATATTCAGTATCGGTCATGAAATTTTCGATGATGTTATTCATTTTGCTATTAATTAATTATTGCTCTTAGTTATGTTATTAATTAAAACGAAGAATGTTTGTCTTTACGTCTTCCAAACAGAATCTCCGCACTTGTAAGCAGCAGACGTAAGAAAATAACATATCGTTTTTAGTTTCAACAAAATCAGTAAATGCGCAATCGTGTCAATGGATGTCAATCACATGATTGTCTGGTCACTATCACTGGATTGTCTGGTCCAGACGTGATTGTATACAGTCGCCGTCGTATGGCAGGACTAGGCAACAAACAAACTCTGATGATTTATATCATGTGACGCGAACACCTGGTGTCCTCACTGATTTTCAGGTATCAATTTATATAACTTTCACAACTATTTTGCCTTTCACTCCCAATGGATTCTATAATTGAGACTGACTATTCCCTGGATTTTTATGTTTAAAGCTGAAATATAACGAATATTTACAAAGGTGTTATAATAGAGACGGTTGTCCGCGGTCTTTTGTGTCTTAGTACCGCAAATATAACGAATATTTACAAAGGTGTTATAATCGAGTCGGTTGTCTGCAGTCTTTTGTGTCATAGTACCACAAATATAACGAACATTTACAAAGGTGTTATAATCGAGACGGTTGTCTGCAGTCTTTTGTGTCCTATAACCACAAATATAACGAATATTTACAAAGGTGTTATAATAGAGACGGTTGTCTGCAGTCTTTTGTGTCTTAGTACCACAAATATAACGAATATTTACAAAGGTGTTATAACAGAGACCGTTGTCTGCAGTCTTTTGTGTCACAGCACCACAAATATAACGAATATTTACAAAGGTGTTATAATAGAGTCGGTTGTCTGCAGTCTTTTGTGTCATAGAACCACAAATATAACGAATATTTACAAAGGTGTTATAATAGAGACGGTTGTCTGCAGTCTTTTGTGTCATAGTACCACAAATATAACGAATATTTACAAAGGTGTTATAATAGAGACGGTTGTCTGCAGTCTTTTGTGTCATAGTGCCACAAATGTAACGAATATTTACAAAGGTGTTATAATAGAGACGGTTGTCTGCAGTCTTTCATGTCATAGTACCACAAATATAACGAATATTTACAAAGGTGTTATAATAGAGACGGTTGTCTGCAGTCTTTTGTGTCATACTACCACAAATATAACGAATATTTACAAAGGTGTTATAATAGAGACGGTTGTCTGCAGTCTTTTGTGTCATAGTACCACAAATATAACGAATATTTACAAAGGTGTTATAACAGAGACCGTTGTCTGCAGTCTTTTGTGTCACAGCACCATAAATATAACGAATATTTACAAAGGTGTTATAATAGAGTCGGTTGTCTGCAGTCTTTTGTGTCATAGAACCACAAATATAACGAATATTTACAAAGGTGTTATAATAGAGACGGTTGTCTGCAGTCTTTTGTGTCATAGTACCACAAATATAACGAATATTTACAAAGGTGTTATAATAGAGACGGTTGTCTGCAGTCTTTTGTGTCATAGTGCCACAAATGTAACGAATATTTACAAAGGTGTTATAATAGAGACGGTTGTCTGCAGTCCTTTGTGTCATAGTACCACAAATAAAACGAATATTTACAAAGGTGTTATAATAGAGAGGGGTGGCTGCAGTCTTTTGTGTCATAGTACCACAAATATAACGAATATTTACAAAGGTGTTATAATAGAGACGGTTGTCTGCAGTCTTTTGGGTCATAGTACCACAAATATAACGAATATTTACAAAGGTGTTATAATAGAGACGGTTGTCTGCAGTCTTTTGTGTCATAGTACCACAAATATAACGAATATTTACAAAGGTGTTATAATAGAGACGGTTGACTGCAGTCTTTCATGTCATAGTACCACAAATATAACGAATATTTACAAAGGTGTTATAATAGAGACGGTTGTCTGCAGTCTTTTGCTGCCGTTGTTTCATTCCGGGTTAAAATATTACCCAGCAACTTCGATAGTTTAGTCAGGCTTACACCAACGGCGTGGATTGTTGATTGTAATAGCTATCACATTCCTATAGCTGAAATATTAAATGTAAACCATCAAACCAACCAACCAAACAAAACATCAACTATAACCACTGATCAGTGAAAACATACCGGAGTAAGGTCACGTTTAATGTTAAACGTCTGAAGAAATCAGGGTAAACGGGTAGTGCAGTCGTCAAAGACGCCGCAATTCGCTGTGCTGAGTTGCGCCCCTTGGACAAACCAGGAACCTATGATTGTGGGTTCGAATCCCGGTTCGACCCGATTATGTTTCTAGGTTGCCAGCACCATACCCGTGCTCATGGGTTTCACCGAAGTGGTAAACGTTTGATACCTGCATCATTTAAGGTTTTCCTCCCACGTTAAACTGACACGCTGTTAAATAACTGGAATAATGATCAAAGCGACGTTTAACTCAACTCACTCACTCATTGTATCAACACGGTGCGTTTGTTAGTGTTGCTAAACGTGCTGGCTATTGCCTTTGAAAGATGTTTCAATTTGTTATTTGGTGTAAACAGAAATGTTTAATTGTTATAACAGTACTTTCATTTACAACATTTGCATACAGGAGACCTGTGGGGCGGTCTCGCCTACTGCAGCCAGGAAGAGAAGGGATGTCACCGACCAAAGCACACTCGAGAAAACCGTCCGCATCCGTTATCCGGGTTCTACACGAGGAGGTGAGTTACATCTAAACTGTTAACAAATCTTTTTAGCACAGTCCACTGTTTGAATCACAGAATTATTCTTTATCCATTAATTTATCTTCACTTTTTATCCATTAATTCATATGCATATTTTTTATCCATTAATTTATCTGCATCTTTTTATCCATTAAATTATCTGCATCTTTTTTATCCATTAATTTATCCGCACCTTTTTTATCCAATAATTTATCCGCACCTTTTTATCCAATAATTTATCCGCACCTTTTTTATCCATTAATTTATCCGCACCTTTTTATCCTTTAATTTATCTGCACCTTTTTTATCCAATAATTTATCTGCACCTTTGTTATCCAATAATTTATCTGCACCAAAAATGTGGGTTACAACTTTGTCATAGACGTCTACGAAATGAGTAATTTACCCCTGAAGATCACGCGTAGACTAGGTCTTCAGCAACCCATGCCTACAGTAAAAGGCGAGTATGCTTGTCGAAAAAGGCGACTATCGGGATCGGGTGGTCAGGCTCACTGACTGGTTGATGCATGTCATCGTATCCTAATTTCGTAGATCGATTTTCATGATGTCAATCACTGGATGTACAGACCGCCGTCATTTAGTCGGAATACTGCTGAGTACGGCGTTAAACAACCAGCCAACCAACCAACCAACAAACAAAACATGTGTAACTCTTGGCTGCCACTAACCTGCTGCGCCATATTATATCTGACTTGACGTCCAAAACGACGTTAAAACCAACACATGCACTCACTCATCATAAGTTCATTCCTTGCAGGTGATGACAACGGTCGAAGGCCTGTGTGTTCCATATCTAAGCAAATGACGGCTGTTGTAGTTGCCATGGCGACTTGCCTCTTCCTCCTGATCATCTTCGCCATCATTCTTGTAGATCGTGTCGTACAAACAGCAAAATGCAGAAACGACACGAAAGACAAAGACTTGAAGGTGGTATACTGAGATACATCAGTGTGGTTACAGATAAGGTCAAATGCGAGCTGCCATTTGTTACATCACCCAAACGCCTAAACGTATCCACTTTACGCAGTCTAATTGAAATCAGATATAAGTTCTCGCTACAGGTGCACAAAAACCCGACGACATCTTATAACCGACCATTTTTGATTTTACATATGTCTTGCATCTAAAAATATACCCAAGACACAGTTAACTGTGTTCAGTCATACTGTATAATTCCGCACGTCCCGATGTCCTTTAAATTGCATCTGAAATATATATAATATATGGGGAAGTATATGTGAACCATTACGCAACGAGTTGACAATTGTTTTAGGTATGCCCGTTTGCGCTAAGACGGAACCTAGTCGCAAAAATGGCCATGCGAGGGGCACGAGTCGCAATTCGGCTTGTCCCGGAATAACACGAGTTGGTCACGAATGAACTGATTCGGAATTAGTGGAGTGGAACCGTGACAAGTCAGGCTATGTCCCGCAATGCAAAGCGTTGTCTCCCTTGCATTACGAGTTATAGACATGTTGCCTTGGAGTGTTCTCAGTGGAGGCCTTTTCTATGTCTATAACTTTCTGTGTTTCCCACTGTCTAAACACAATGGTTGTTTCCGTGCTCTTCAAGCCTTAAGCCTTTGCCTTGGCAAAATACAAAGCTGCTGTATTTGTGTCTGTTAACGAAATACAACTGTGAAGTACTGTGAACTGTGCCTGGCAAAAAAAGCATCCTCTTGGAAATTGGATTTGACCAAATTACAAACGTTATGAAAACGTTACTTGGCTGAAAACGTTTGCCGAAACACTGAGAGTGAGTGAGTGAGTGGGTTGGGTTTAACGCCGCTTTTAACAATATTCCAGGTATATCGCGGCGTGTCAGCTTAATGGGGGAGGAAAGCCCGAAGTGATGCAGGTCTCAGACGTTTACCCCTTCGGTAAAACCCACGAGCACGGGTATGGTGCTGACAAACCTAGAAACATAATCGGAGCGAACCGGGATTCGAACCCACGATCATAGGTTTCTGGCGTACCCAAGGGACGCAACTCTGCACAGCGAATCGCGGCACCTTTGACGACTGGGCCCCCCGTGCCCCCCGAAACACTGAGAACTTTGGGTCCAAAACACAACTATGATACCCGTATAAAATACATCACCATTTAATAACCCTTTCTTGTTTGTTCAT